AGAGTGTTGGCAATGAAGAACAAAAAAAAGAAAGAAAGAATACAAAATAAAGATTTACTCAAACAGGAAGCTGCACTGTAGCCCCCAACTGAGGAGATTACACAGAGAACAATGCCATAATGCCAGAGGAGGCAGCGAGCGTGCATCCAAAAATAGCTAATGGACTTGTTACAAACATTTGGTTGAAGTCAACACTGTATTTGGTTTAATCCAGGGATGCATTTGCAGGGATAAACTCACCATTTGTTGTATATTTTCACGAATCTGAGAAGATAATGGGCAGAAACATTGACAGCACAGGAAGCTCTGGCAGAAATTAAACAACTCTTTGACAGTGTTGCAAAAGAGATGTTCAAAAACTCTGTTTTCCATTTTCCAGGTGATGCACTGAAAATGCAACCGTGTATGTGATTGTGTGGTTGTTCACACTCAAGTTTGACATATTTATCTGGAACTATGACAAACTGATTATGTTTAACAAAAACGTCCTAATTAATGCCATTTCTATTCCCAAACTTTCTTAGGAAATATGCTAATATAATCACACTAAGTGGCCTCATGTCGCCCTCTGGGCCTCTGAGAAAAAAGTATTCTTTTAAATGGGATTATTCCAATTCATTTCCCTATCAACAGCTTCACTGAAGACTAGCTGCTCACGTTGCCATGGATGTCTCAAAAATGACTGAGGTATTTGACCAGAGAAATAAAGAGGCTCTGGATACTCGAGGAAAAAAAAACCCCACTTTGGAGTGCATTTGAGAGCTGCTGCTTTATCTTATCTCACAAGGTGTCAGTTTCCATGTTTTCGCTCAGCTTCAGCAGTGATCTTTGCTCCCTGTGCGGATGAAAGGAGCTTTTCAAACAGCAAGTTTGCAAGTTTATGTTGTGCAGCAGCTACAGATACCTAAATACAGAAAATTAGTAATGATATAAATGTCAAATATTCTCTGGTTCTAATGTTATATCATACTCCCAAACTGTGTTATATCACTGCAATTTAGCTTTTGTTTCTTTCCTTAACCACTGGTTGGACAAATGTTTTTTGCAGATGTCACATGTTACCCCTGGTGATAAGCATTTTTGACTGTTTTTGTACAAAATAAAATAATCTATTAACCAAAGCTGTAAATCTGAATAAATGCTTATCACTAGTTGCAGCTGCACGAGTTGGTTTTCTAGCCTGTTTAGATCCAGTTCTGTTGAACTTATAATTGTGGCAGTATAAAATACACTGCAGCATATGAAGAAGTTAAATGCAGCTGCCTGTGCACGAATGCCTCAGTAATAATCCCATCATCGTTTTACTTAAATACCTTTTGCTGATGATGACCCGTGTGGATGTTTCCATTCTGTATTAAGTAAATACTTTGAAAGCACATTTAGAGACAAGACTAATTGGCTTATGTGAACATTTTCTGAGACAATACAAAATATTTTCTTTGGTTTGATTCTCAAATTAAAGCATATGAAGGATGGATGTTGAGTTCAGATTGTGTTTAGTAATCATTTTATTCTATTGATTTCCTTTTAAGGCTCTAAACAATTATCCCGTGCATTCACTGATGTCCACACGTATTAGTGTCTGCTGTGTACATCGCTCTAGAGCTTATTAACGGACCTTCACGCCGACAGTTCATTTGTCCAATGGTTGTTTGGAATCCATTGGTTGTCCAATAGCAATCCAGCCTGAGCTGACGCTGCGTGCTTATTGGTGAGTAGTGTTAGTATGTCTCCTTTTCGTTGATGCCTTTCATTTGGTCAAGGTTGCACTTGCAGTTATAACAGCAGAACGCGACTGGAGCTTCGTTTACGCGCAAACAGAGAGCAGCCCGATCAGCCGAGGCTCTGCCGAAACTTCTCCCGTTTCTATTTGCACACCCCGGAGGAATCTCTCACCTCTCAGGAGCAACCATGGATGAAATGGAGGAAGAGTTAAAATGCCCTGTTTGCGGCTCATTTTACCGGGAGCCCATCATACTGCCGTGCTCCCATAACATTTGCTTAGCCTGTGCTCGGAATATTCTCGTGCAGACCCCCGACGCCGAGTCTCCACAGAGCAGCCGAGCCTCCGGGTCCGGGGTCTCCGATTATGATTATCTGGATTTGGATAAAATGAGTTTGTATAGTGAGGCGGACAGTGGCTACGGTTCCTACGGGGGCTTCGTGAGCGCTCCGACCACCCCTTGCCAAAAATCACCGAACGGGGTTCGGGTTTTCCCCCCGACTGTCCCTCAGCCGCAGCAGCAGCACCTTCTACCGCACCCCGGCTCCTTAACTCCGATCCCTCGTAACTCCTGCATCACCTGTCCGCAGTGTCACCGCAGCCTCATCCTGGACGACAGGGGACTCCGCGGGTTCCCCAAGAACAGGGTGCTGGAGGGGGTGGTGGACAGGTATCAGCAGAGCAAAGCGGCCGCTCTCAAATGTCAGCTCTGCGAGAAGAGTCCAAAGGAGGCCACCGTGATGTGCGAGCAGTGCGACGTCTTCTACTGCGACCCGTGCCGCCTGCGCTGCCATCCTCCCCGCGGTCCACTCGCCAAGCATCGCCTGGTGCCGCCGGCGCAGGGGCGGATAAGTCGCCGCGCCAGTCCCCGCAAAATTTCCACTTGCACAGAGCACGAACTGGAGAATCTTAGCATGTACTGTGTACAGTGCAAGATGCCTGTATGTTATCAGTGTTTGGAGGAAGGGAAACACGGCACGCATGAGGTCAAAGCTTTAGGCGCAATGTGGAAACTGCACAAGGTACGTGCGTAAAAATGATCGGGGTTGTCTTCTTCCCTTACAAGTGCGTCTGTTTCTGTCTTTATTTGTGTTTTTGGCCGCTCTGTGCAATGATTCAACATCCTCTGAGCTGAGCAACAAGTCTGTGTTCGAAATAATTTGCGCTGTCGTGTCAGCTCTGCTTAGCATCCGGTAGAGAGGTACAGAGCTGTGGGGTGTTCGTTCTGCCGCTTTGGATTTAAATGAGTGTTTAACAATAGTAAGAGGATGCATTTTATTGCCTGATACACGGTCCAGCTTCATGTGACGCTGCCTTTATCCAAACACTGCCAAACAAACCTGAAAGGCAGTGGTTCATTTTTAATTTTACCTCATAAGTGGACAACTAGAAGCTGCTGTTTTCTATTTGCACGACCATGTAAATGATGACCATCTGTCTCCATCTGATGACCGAGATGCCAACATCAAATTCCTTCAGTGCTTTGACAGCTCACAGGCACCCTGGAGATCATTAGGCATGGCAAACGCTGAAGCTATGCTTTATTGAGAATGGGGAGTGAAGCACAGATGCAGGCCTGTGGTGTGAATTGAGAAGCTATTTTTGAAGCTGAGTTGTTGTGGGCAGGAGAGGCAGAGCTGAGATTATCTACGCCTCTGCACCAGCAACCCTCACCTCCACACTCCAGCCTTCAATGAAGAAGGGAAGAATGTAGAGCTAGATATAACTCACACATGTACCCACGCACACACAGGGAGCATGATGTGTAGTCGTGGTGTCTCCTGGTTTCCATGATAAAACCCCAAAAAACAATGAATGTATTGAGTGCTGGTGCACAAGCAACACAAGCACATCATTATCTCTCCATCCTCGTCATTTATTCTCAGCAGTCTGGTTTTATACGTCTCCAGAACAACAATTTAAAAGCACCCCACTCCAATCATCCCTTGTAGGGAGATAGTGTGTCACTTCAGATGCGATAGACAACTGTAAAATTGCTTGGAATATCAGATGGGGTCGAACATTTCGCTCATATCAAATTTCCATCACATGAAAAGTTGCCAATCTGTTCTGCGTAATCATGCTTGGATGTAAAATGGGGAAAAGAGTATTTTTAGAAACTAATCAGTGGTACCAGGAATTTTAGTGCCAATATTCAGCAGGTGGCACTTTTTTATTTTTTGACTGTATCTCACGGCACCTGGTTATTTCTGATCTATCATCTGATCATCTGAAGCTGCCCACGGAGCTGTGACAGATGGCTCAGAGCTCAGAGTTGGCAGAGTTGAGCATGGCCATCTTTGGGAGCTTCAGGGTATTCCTCACAATGTTCACTGGAGAAAAAGCTTTTCATATCTTGATAAATAGTTACTGCAAAATGACAAGAATACAAACAAATATTATATGTAACGATTAGAAATCTCAACCTATTTTAGCTTATTTACTGATTCCCCCCCAGTATGAAGTAGAGACTGACCAAACCTAGATTTCTGGCGCTAATGCCAAAATACAGACACAGGTTTATCAAACAATATTGATTAAGTTACATTGCAAAGGGAAAATGATGGATTTGTGCCTTTTTAGGGGTCATTTCTCTTCTTCACTTGCACAAATATTAGAGATGGATCATCTCATAAAGCTTCACATTTAACACACAGTCCTAGCTCTGTGTATTTCCTCCACCCGAGCATCTTTAAAACAGCATGATAGAATCTGGCCCCCTATGGAATCAAATTTTCCCTCTCCTTACTGGGCAAGTAGCAGGCTTCACATTTTTCAGCATTTTCCCAAAAAGCCTACCTCTGGAAAGACGGGTTAATAAAAATGAACCAAAACAGCACAGTTGCAAACTTCAAGAAAACTATTTGAGCTTCAAGGTTTTTGCCGTAGCCATAGAAAAACCAACCAGTATTCAAAAAGCATGTCCTGCTTACCCATATACTTACACAGCCTTAGAAATGCCCATAAACATCTTGCATTCCCCTTCATGCTTAAACTGATCAAAGCTTTTGGTTGTTTGATCTGTGCGCTTTTGTGTCTGAGCCGGCGCATTTTTCATCTTTGCTGTCTAATGCTGATGCACAAAGTACCACACTAAGGATCTTGATATCAAATCCACACCTGCAGCATTTACACTTCAGAGCTGGAAATGTGGTGATATCATTTAATAGGATCTGTTCTGTTTTTCAGTTGCATTTTTTCTTGTCTTTTTGAGCAGAAAAACAGTGATTTCTCCATCATTCTGCAGCATTTCTCTCCTTGCTGTAAACGACTTTAACCACCTGCTGCCATAACAGCCAAATCCCTCTTCCTGAAGTACAAAGCAGCAAAGGTCTCTAAGATACTGGACCCCACGAGGAATCCACCCCACATGCTTTACACTTCTCCCCTCTGCTGCGTTCTAAAAATGAATGCTGTTTCAGATCATTACTTGCACTCTACATGCTCTCCTCCTGCATTAGTTCAAACGCATTCTTGGCTTCTCTTCTAGTCTCATAGGCAATAAAACACCCTGATTTATCGCCAAGCTCTCCTTTTGGTCACTCTAAACCAAAATGGTCATCAAGAAAGAGCAGAAATGAAAGAGTGACTCGTCCGGCATACGTCTGCCTCTTCAGATTTGTACTGGAAGGTTTTATGTGGTGGCAGGACTTTAGTGTTGATCTCCACAAATCACATTAAAAAGAGTAAAGGGGTATCATCAGTGTGTTAAATTGCTACACAGTGAGTGGTCCTCAACACTTCATGGATGTCATAACAGGTCACTGAATGCAATCCAAGTCACGGTCTGCCACTCATTATGTTTAGTGGCAATTAAAGGTGATTAATCAAACTGAATGTAATGCGTGTGTGTGTGTGTGTGTGTGGAAAATAGGTAACAGATTGCCGCAGATTCTTTTTCCTGCTACAGGAAGGGAGATAAATCCAGAGGTTTGACTCTGAGGGTTTGCACATGTGCTATCTTTTATCTTTACTCCTATTAAAAAAAAAAAAGGTCTAACAGAAAGTGACACTAAGTTAACCCAAACTGATGCTCTACAAGCTCTCATTCAAGGTGGCCCCAAAAGCAAGCTAATGAGGACAGACAGAACAGGTCACGTGGCCGGGAAACATTTTAAAGTCTTGTTTCAGCCTTGAAGCTGATGCAATTTCTTGTAATTTCTTGGTAGAAGAAGAAGCAACCTGGAGCTTCTGTTAAACTCAGTAGGAGAGAAGGAAAAGCCTTAAAAATTCCCATACAAGAAGCAGGTTATTTGTCCTTCCCGTTTTAACCGCTGTCTTCTGTCGGGACAGCCACATAAAGAGAAGCAGAAAAAACTGTCCAATACTGTATTTAATTAGTAATGAGAAGAATGTGTCATGCTTACAGTTAATTATTGCACAAATGTTTCAACTCAAAGGAGTTCTGCATGATGGCTTCATTCAAAATACGCTTACTGGACACTTTATTAGTTACAGCCTGCCATTTCTGGAATGGACTTTCTTTCACCTTCAGAACTGCCTTTGCAAAGTGCTGGAAAAATTCCCCAGAGATTCTGGTTTATATCAACATGATAGCATCACATTGTTGCTGCAGATCTGCTGGTTGTTCATCTCCTGTCCCACCAAATCCCAAAGCTGCTCTGCTGGACTGAGATTTGGTGACTATCGAGTCCAGTTGAATACAGTGAACTTAGACCTCTCTGCATTGAATCATTGGCTCTCTCTGTCTCTCTTCCACAGCATGTCTTTTGTCCTGTCTTCCTTCTCTCACCCCAACCACTCGTGGCAGATGGCCGCCCCTCCCTAAGCCTGGTTCTGCTGGAGGTTTCTTCCTGTTAAAAGGGAGTTTTTCCTTCCCACTGTTGCCAAAGTGCTTGCTCATAGGGGGTCATAAGATTGTTGGGTTTTCCTCTGTGTATTATTGTAGGATCTACCTTACAATATAAAGTGCCTTGAGGCAACTGTTGTTGTGATTTGGCACTATATAAATAAAATTGAATTGAACTCATTGTCATGTTGAAGAAGCCAGTTTGAGATTATTTGAGCTTTATGGCGTGTTATCCAGTTTGAACCACCACCAGCAGCCTAAAATGTTGATTAAAAGCAGGATGGCTCAATTTTTATGTTGTTTAAACCACTCTACCATCCACATGTTGCAGCAGAAATCAAGACTCATAACACCAGGCGAGGTTTTTCCAATATTGTTATCCAGCTTTGGTGAGACGTGTGAATTGTTGCCTAATTCTCCTGTTCTTGGCTGACAGAAGTGGTCTTCTGCTGCTGTAGCCATCTGTTTCAAAGTTGGATGCACTGTGAATTCAAATAACAAGCGGTTATTTGAATTGTTGTTTCCTTCCTACCAGCTCAAGGCAGCCAGCATTCTCCTCTGACCTCTGGCATCAACAAGGCATTTTTGCCTCTCACTGGTCCATTCGGCCCATTCTCTGTAAACCCTGGAGATGATTATGTGGGAAAATCCCAGTAGATCAGCAGTTTCTGAAATAGACCAGCCCAACCACGCCACGTTCAAGATCCTTTAAAACACCTTTCTTTCCCATTCTGGTGCTTTGTTTGAACTTCAACAGGTCATCTTGACCATGTCTGCATACCTAAATGCATTGAGTTGCATTTTGCTGCTTTGAGCTGCCGTGTGATTGGTTGATTAGAAATTTATGTTAATAAGCAGTTGAACAGGTGTACCTAATAAAGTGTCTAGTTAGTGTAAGTGCATAAGAACACTGTTCAGTAATGGTCTAACGCCGTGCAGTGATACAGCTCACACTACCCTTAAATATGTCTTTTTTATAAGTGACTCTCTGTCGATAAAAGACACGGTTGTAATTGTTTAAGAAAGCACTAATAAATGCAGAGGGCAAAGTCAGGCCTGAGGTTTTTCAAGAATGAATTTTCACAGTGGGCGTAAGCTTCAGTGTCTCAAAGCTGTTTAGGTTGATGCTGCTCCATTAAAGGCGCTGATATTTACCCCTCAAGCTGCCATGTAAAGAGATTATCTGTGTAAATGTTAATGAAAGAGGGAGAT